ACCTTAATCAGAACCACATGGGTTCTCAGGTCGTTCAGCTAAGTAAGCACATCCATAAATGCAATCGCACTAACTGCATATATTGAGCCACCCACTGCAAAGTAGTCAATAGTACTCCTTTCGACACACTTCACGGTTGGGCATCCTTTTTGCATTACATGATGTTCTCAATAAAATGCCCTCTTTACCTTAGAGGGAAATAAAGTGCTGTCACAACTAGCAAATCTGCCCAAACTTCTTGTTTGCATTTCTCGAGTAAATCTTATTCCACCACAGGCATCCATGGTGCAGGCGGTGCCTCCATCACCAGTTATGTTACGTCTTTGTAATAGATGATTCCATAATGACAAATGAGGAATTTTATCATGCACATGGATTGCACAAAATGGGATCACCACTCTAAAGCGATGAAGCATATGTGTTTTTTAAATTTGAATGTTTCAATTCATTGGTAGCCTAATGTTTTCCATGCTACGCATCTAAATCGAGTCGACGTTAAGAACCTAATAACGTGAAATGTGAAACAAGTAACATTTAGTGGCACTGACTCACACGACTAACATTGGCACTAACATAGTGGAAATTTTTATTGCACACTATATTTGAGCGGCCATGCGTCATGAGGAGCATCCATTACACGAGTCACGAATTGTTCTTCTCAAGCAATATACGGTAAGAGGACATTTTACATTTGTTGACCATGAAAAAGCTTTGCTGGATGTGGTAAATTGACCGTAGTTGTAAACATATCATACCTACAGTCAAAAAGAGATCTCAAGCAAAATCTACGCCCGGTTGCAGTTCAGGCACTGATGCTCACTTAGTAGATTCGCATCAGTACCTTCAATGAAGCATTAACAAACGCTAACTTACAAGACACCATTTTGAGGTATCGTACAGCTTTAAGCAATATTCCAGATCAGAGCGAGGTCTTCCATTGCTGCCATAAGTAAAATATATTTAGACTTTCTACCTAGCGCTGGAAGATCCAGCTAGTTTTGCTTGCGCCAATGCTTCATCCTGATCGAAATTCCTCGACGATAATGACAATTTTTACCCCATATATATCAAGTCTTCTTATGGTCAGTACCCACGTGCACTGCGTCACTGTCTCTTAGCTCAGTTTACTTGTTAAGTTAATTCTTCCAATAACAAAATAGCATGCTATGAAGAATCGCCTATGTAAAATACGAAAACGCAATCAAAATCAGGCAAAACATGGTCCGTAACTTTAAATGAGATAACAGGACGTTCGTCGCACCATATTTGATACACTAATTTATACCGGCGGATTTTGATTAGCACCGTCACCGGCTATAGTTTCCGATAGTGCCTCAACAATGAATGGCAAAAGAAATACAGCGGGTTAACTCAACAGCTACAACAAGACGGATTGATCCCCTTTGTTAACGAGGTGGTTACCTGTCATAGCTTATTAAAAGTGAGGCATTTAATAAATTTTATTCGTGTTTTAGGAACCTCTAAATTAAATGCCTTCATAGTAGACAAGTGAATACTGAATGTCCTTTAAAAACGGCAAATGTATTGTTAGACCGCTTTGGACAACCAAGAGTATAGTGAAATACAAATGCCTGGAAATGTTTGTAGTCTCTTCAGGGTGAAGTTCTAGAATGTAAGAGTCATGGCTCTTCCATATAAGGAAGACCAATGGCATAAGTGGTGGTTTACACGAATTAATTAAAGCCCTACCTCATTACAGCATGAAGCTCCAAAGGAATGCCAAATAACTGCGTTCCACTGCCCATCTCCGTCTCTCCTTCGGAAATGGCATCATGCTGAGTTCTAATTAATTCAAGCCCTTGCCAAGGCGAACTGATGAATTAAACCTAATTACAACAGACGGAGTTGCATTAATTGGCTTCGAATTAAATACCTCTGTTAATGTCGTTGGCTAAGAAATCATATAGAGGCTCCAGGAATTGCTCAATGTTGGCGAGGGTTTCTTAGAAAAACATATGCTATTATTCCATCATGCTAGTTCCAGTTTCGGTGACGATATTATCATCAAAATTTAATTTATTCAAATTTACAAATTGTATTACACACAAAATAAATATGCGTGACAGGCATCAGAGCAGTAGCCGTTCCATCACCAAGGCGTGCCTGTGAAATTCAACATAATTAACTTCTACTTCATTCACGCAAGTAGCATTAACTCCTGGATGCATACATCAACATTGGGATCAACATGCAAAAACACAAGTATTCATCACACGTCTGACATTTATCCTTTGGCTGTCATCCCTGAATATTATGCCAGAGAAATATAAGGCAACAGCGAGTTAAGAGTAGAATGCCGACTCCATGTCGCACAACAAAAATCTGGTTGTAAAAACAACGGATGACAAATGCATGTTGATGAGGCTGCGTGCAATAAATTAGACAACGTCGAGAGGACTTCAAGGCACTTGCCCCATAGGTAGTAGATTCTGCAAGCAAAAGTATGGCACTGCAAATTATTGAAATCATCTACTACGCCATACCTTCTAAGCAAATTTAATTGGCTAAATGCCTCCAACTTTAGGTTTACCATAAATACAGTGAAATAATATCTTATGGAAAAGTAAAGTAAAGCCAATCTTTATTTCAGAGAATACCCTCAAAATGAAAGTCCCTGATGTGAATTGAGGCGGGTCTCTGCTTGAATGCACAAATCTTTTGTATAAGT